ATTTTTAAGAAACAATTAGAATCTAGCATAATGGCGAGATCGTTGTTTAAACAATACTTACAAGCCAAACCAGATGTGTCAGGTTTCTCTAAAGCTTTTAAAAAAGAATTCTTCACTCTCATTCCTTTGGCTGTTTCAGAATTTGGGGAATCTGTAACTTCGTGAGCGTTTTTCGATTTTAGATTTTGTAATTCATTTTTAATGCATTCTTCTGCGACTGGTTTGAAAAATTTGTGCTTATAGCGAGCTTAATATGTGGATATGGGAAATAAATTATTATTTTTGAAAGTCGTGGCTGCCAGCCGAATCGGATCAGAATATTGTTACTTTTTTAAAAAAGCACCCCGTTTTTTATAAGCATTTGAATCTCAAATAGTCACGTAATTCTTATCTAATTAAAGGTCAGACCTATAGCTTTTTAATTATTTGAGCATCGATTCTCTTTATAGCCAGACGTTGATGATTTTTCCTGGAAATCCCTATTGAAGAGCTTACTCTTTGACTTTAAATGGCAAATATGGGACAGTTTTACCACAGAAGTTTTTAGCCAACGATCCAATGTATATCCCTATGAAAAAAATATTGCCCGACAAGAAAAACAAAATTACGGTTTTTAATATTTTTTCTAAAAAAAAATTCCCGAAGAGCCCCATTTGAAATTATTGAAACGAATATAAGTAACATCAATAGCAATTTGGTTAAGAATTACAGTGCACACTTTCTCCTTTTGTGTCTAGTAGTTTTCTTTTAAGATTGGTCCAAAAAAATCATAATAAAAAAAGAGACCAATGCAGGTATTTAAAGCACAGAAAAATAAAGTAAAATGGACTAAGTTCTCTTTGACGTACGTCAAAGGTCGAGTAGAAGTGGGAACTTGTATGAGTGCCCATTGATAGCTCGGTTATATAGCTTAAGAAATAATATGCTTAAAGACATTTTTTTTAAGTTGATAAATATGACATTTGTCCAGTTTGTTACACAACTACTGCCATGACCACAGGCAAAAATACTGGCTACAATTTGTCTTTTTGTTTGCCATATTACGTTTTATCGGTACACTTGCACAATATTCGCATTCGCCAAAGCTCCGCATTGATTATTGCGAATGCGAATGCGAATGTTAAAATTAATGCGGAAGCTCCGCGGTTGCGAATGCGAATATTCGCAACAACCCTGGTTGGAACATTACTGACAGTGCGGGCATAGTAAATAGAGGAATTGAAATACATATAGTATATTTACATATCGTCGCCTGGGTAAAAAAAAAGCTGAGATGCCACGATTGCCGCGAATGGACCAATCTGGAACAATTTTTATTGTGCTGTACTGGAACACAATAAAAAAATTGTCCCAATGAAATTCTGTACAGTCACACGGTTGCCTCTTTTTATACAATTCTCATTGCCGTAAGTTGGCGAAAAGCAATATAGTGACAATAATTGCCCCAAACTTATCACACGATTGTTCGAGCATGCGGCAATTGTGACCATAAAGTGTTGCGCTGACTTCTAAACTCTGTTTTTTTTTTCTCTGTTGTGTAAAAATGGCGTATTCTTAATAAAAAAAAATAAATCTGTTGCATCTGCTTTGTATATTGCGGGCTCATTTTGTCCAAATTTCTTGTTGTTTGAAAGCAAAGAAGCAAAAACTTGTGTCCAATGGAAACTCACGCATTTATTTAGAAGTTTGAGTGTATAGTTTTTTTTTTTTTTTTTCGACGATAACTGCAACGTGCTATGTGGAGTTCAAGTTGCAACAGTTTTCTTTTTAATTTTGTTACGTAGAGGTTTTTTTATTCATTACAAGTAAAATTGGTAAATAGTTATGTTTGTTTAAATGAAAGCTGCGAATTTACATAATTTATGTTTGGAATGAAATTTTATAATTATATGTACAGCTCGCAACAAAAGATAGCACCTTAACATTTTGATCAGTCTTGACTTTTTTCTTCTCTTGTTTAATGTTAATTTTTTCCTATAAAACCATAGCTCATTGTCTAGTAAAAACCACATAAGTCCAAATTTCAAACTTTATACAAAAATTATAAACATTTCTTAAAATTTCGATCACAATTCAATGGTTCTTAATTTGGGTTTCTAGAAAAAATTTTGTTATGCAGTTTGCAAAGTAATTTACAGAGAAGAAAGTGCATAATACCGTCAGCTAAAAATATTCTGAAAAATCAACATTAGCAATTAGCAACTTCTCACTTCCACCTTATTGTACTAAATTTGAGCTACAAAACTAAATAACGATTTTTTTTTCTAGAAATCCAATTTAAAAACCGTGGGATTGTGTTCAAAAGTTTAAGAAATTTTTATAATTTTTGTATAAAGCTTGCAATTTGGATTTATGCAGTTTTTGTTAGACAATGAGCTATACTTTTATACGAAAATAATGAAGATTAAATAAGTAGAAGAAAAATAGTCAAGACTGGTCAAAATGTTGAGGTTCTACTGCTTTGTCGTGGGCTGTATTGAACTTTTAAGTTTTTTTTTTTTTTTAATAAATTTATACTGTCATAGCAGTTCGCCATTTGGTGACATAAAATACCTTTCGTATTCTTCTCGTATGAGTTTTGCTTGTGGTGGTATATATCGCGGCAAAGATTCCGTCATCGGACTTCAAGAAAAATTATAATTTCAATACAATTTAAATTAAAAGTTATGTTGCTCCGAAAACAAGGATATTAATTTCAGTGATTTTTGGACACATAAGGAAGCAAAAAAGTAAATTATTAATAAACAGCCTAAATATTGATGTGTATTGTTCACTTCAATTGCCGCACAAGAACACAATAAATATTGCCGCAATTTTGAAATTTTCATTGCCACATGATTGCCAATCGAGCTATCAGACGATTGCCGCACACGGGCCGTATTTGATTGGGCACAGTAAGCGCAATATCGGCTTCTATTGCCGCATGAGTCAATGTATTGTGAAATCATACGATTAGGCCATAAAATGAGGCAATAATTGGTGTATTGCGGCAATCGTGGGATCCCAGCTAAAGATTGTCGCAAGTGCCATTTTGACGATTTTTAGTTCTAGATGCATTTATGCATTATTTTGAAATA